CTTTTTTTTTTTTTTTTTTTTTTGTTTTCTTAAGCCTTACTCTCTGCAACTAAAGTGGAAACTGAGATATGTCACCCCCTGCGTCCCTTCAGAAAATAAGCAGCAGGAGGCTTAGGAAGTGGATCCATTCTTTACTGCTGCAGCTCTCTGCAGATTGAATTTCAGCTGCCCCTGAATGTCCCGCTAGGTTCTTGTGCACCTTCCCAGGGCTGCTATGTCTCAGCAACAGACACCGTAGTGGAAGGGCTTTCAGTGGAGACTCCACCTGGCAGGGCCTCTTTGACCTGCCACTTGCACTTCTGGTCAGGATTAGAAAATTGTAAACAACTCCTTGTCAGCTGTCATTCAGAGAGTGGATCCAAGCAGATCCTGACTCTGAAATCCTTGTAGCCTTTGAGGCCATGGGTCCTGTATGAGTCTCAGCCCAGTGCCTTGGCCATTTGTATTCCTCACTTCTGGTTACTGTGTAAAGCTTGAGACTGACTGCTGCGTCCACCTCTGGCTCAAACTAGGCCTAAGTCTGCTTCAGCTAACCCTGTTTCTAGCATGGTTGGGCCAGTTCAGGGGAGGACCAGATCCCCAGCTGAATGACTTCCATGGACTAAAACCACCTTTGACTGGCTGAGGATCTGGCTCCCTGTCCCGAGGCTGCCTAACTTAATCTTGGGGATTGCATAGAAAGGCATGGCAATGCTTATAAAACTAAAAGTATGAAGTGCTGTTATCTGGGACTTTTCCATTCTTGCGTCTTTGTTCAGTCAGGGCAATGCGGGAGCTCTAGAGGAGGCAGTCGAGATGGTTAGAGGGATGCTATGGCTCATCTTGGTGGTGGTGATACTGGATCTGTGTTGCTGCTGTCCTGACCCTGGCAGCGACCAGCACCAGAACCAGATGCTTCGGAGGAAAGTGCAGGACCCCTACAGTAGGCAAATAAGAAACTATCTCCACTCCCCCCTCCACCGCCATAATAAAGGTCTCACTTAGATCCCTAATAGTTAGAAACAGGCTTAAAGCCTGAAGCTACACATTTACTACCCCATAAAGCAGCAGTTCTCAAACTGACAGGTTGCACACCACTAACTTAAAAGGATACAACCTGAAGTATCACCAGCAAATTTTTGTCATATAAAGTAATTATAATAAATCTGACAGTGTATGCGTACTGCAGATTGGGAACCATTGCCATATAGATTCTGATCCTCAACCAAAGCACGTGGCAGGGAGCACCACAGCCCGACCACTTCATTTGCAAATGATTTTGCCCTTTTGTCCGTTTAATTTCAGCTGCTGTCCCTTGTCAGTGTGAGGATGCAGGGAGAAGAGCAGCTCCAGCTCTGCTTCCCCAGGCACTTTGCTTTTTAATGCTTTTTATCACAGCTTTCATGTTCCTGTCCTTTCTTTAAGGGGAAAACCAGCAGCTACTTCAATCTCCTTGCATACAAGCATGTTTTCCCTATCCCTTCTTTCTGTCTTAGGGAGGGATGTGGACAACATTGAGAGGGTCCGGAGGAGGGCCACCCGCATGATCCAGGGACAACAGGGCAGACCCTACAATGAGAGACTGCGGGACCTGAACCTGTTCAGCCTTCACAAGAGAAGGCTGAGGGGGACCTGGTGACCGTCTATACACTCACTAGGGGGGACCAGAAGGGTTTTGGAGAGACCTTGTTTCCCCTAGTGCCCCCTGGCATGACAAGGAATAACAGCCACAAGTTGTTGGAGAGGAGGTTTAGATTAGACATCCGTAAGAACTACTCCACGGTCAGGGCGGCTAGGATCTGGAACCAGCTTCCAAGGGAAGTGGTGCTGGCTCCTACCCTGGGGGTCTTTAAGAGGAGGCTTGATGCCTTCCTGGCTGGAGTCATTTAAGCCCAGTTTCTTCTCCTGCCCGGGCAGGGGGTTGGACTTGAAGATCGACAAGGTCCCTTCCGACCTGACTTCTATGATTCTTCACCTCTGAAAACCCCACCCCAATTTCCTCATGTACATTACCCGGATGAATGCAAACTACTGACTCATAGATGGGCACTTTGATGTTTTCCACCATGTTCTGCATCTCGTTTCATATGTAACCTGACCTGCCTTAGTTCTGTGCTGAGCAGAAATCATGAACTGTCTCCAGGAATCCTCAGGTCTTGTTCCTGAGCTGATGTGTTTAACTTCAGTGCTGGTTAGGTGTGTGTAACCAGGCTGGGGTTTTCTCTCTGTAACATATGTTGCTTTTAACTTGCCCGTACATAGCGTCACTGGATGTTCAGTTGTCCATTTCTCTAATTTGAGTAGGTGTTTGAATTTCCAGACTGTCTTCTTTGTCCTGGGCTAACCTAAATACCTCGGCCTCCCTCTCCTATTTACTACCGCAAAACTTTTTTTTTTTTTTTT